ATCAAAGAATTCTCTAGCCTCTTGAAAAGGTTCTACTGTAGGTGCAAAGGAGCTTTTTGAAATTTTTGGTTTGTCACCAGAATTCCAAACTCCGGCCAAATATTGGGCACCAGCCGATGATTGATTCCAGCACCCAAAACTGTGGCTAAAGTATGATTTAAAACGGGGTTCCCCATAATATATTTAGAGGACACATATCCCCCATACATACGATATCAAAAGTATAGAAAGTGAACCTCTAGGACTATTTCATGGTTGCAATCGACATTTTACCATGGCAAAAGTTGAATAATACTATGGTAAACAACTATTGAATATATTACGCCTTTGCGACAAGCTTGCGATCACCAGTAGAAAGCAGTCTGATTGATTTCCCAACCTTTGTATCAGGTTCCTTGCTGGGGTTGGCGTTCTTCCATCGATCAATTTCAAACGCTTCTATCATCTTCTTGACCTTTGTGAATGAAGGATTTCCACCTTTGCGATTGTATTCTTGCTGGTCTTCGGCCTTTACAAGGTTTCGCGCCAACGCTTCATCCCACATCGCCCCTTTGTTGTCCTCGCCAGATGGGCCCTTGATGGTGCACTTGTTAAGCACCACTTCATTGCGCATTGCAGATGTGCAGTCAACTCCTTGAAGATTCTCACGATGTGACCCCGTATATGTCTTTCCCAAGTTTCCTTCTACTATGTTCATGACAGCATCACAACGGATTGTTGACCCTTGCACGTGGGTGTTCTTCAGCGAATTCATAGCTCCCTTCAGACGATCTTCATACTCTTCCTCACCAATTATCTCCTTCAATGCTTCCACATCGCGTGCAAGGCTGAGGGCATGATTGGTATGGTTGATGCACATACCCGGACCTCTCTCCAAATCGGGCTTGTAGTCTTTGATGCCACCAGTACGAACTGCTCTCCGGATCCTTTCGTTTCTTTTCTCTTTCTGCTTCTGATGATAACTCGAATCAACATAGTTTCTTGTACATTCATCAGAAACCCCATCGCCTGCAATACCGTATACAGTAACGTTCTTTTCTTCCTTTCCAGTTGTCTGGCAAAGACGAGCCCTCTTGACAACACGCTCCACGTCTTCAGTTGTAGTGGGAATAGGGCCAAAGTAGGCTAGAAACTTTGCCCTCAATCTGTCTGCTACACTACCAGTTGCGCCCCGAAAATTGTAGCCCGTTGCAATGATTTCAATCAAATCTATCCAATCGAGAAAATTCTTGGATTTGATGCAAGCATCACGAGTTTCGTCGTCAATTGTTGCCGTGACAAACTTGGCAAAGTCTTCCAATGGAACATTGAGATGGTGAATTGGCGATGTGTAGATTTGATCAGCATATTGTCGCATTGTCGCATCATCAATTTCTCCATGAGTTAGAAACTTTGCAACGATTTGAGCTGTCTGCTGCTCTCCGAAGCATGCCAAGAACAACAGTCCACCCTCGCAGAATTGCTTGTTGTGCTTGTGAAGGCTCTCCGTGTATTTCTCTATGAACAGTTTGGCCTTTCTTAAGCATTGTTCCTGCTGCGTGGCATTTTCCATCTTTCCAAGGTTGTCCCAAAATTCATGGAATACCGAGTTGGATGGCACATCATTGACCGATCCACTCTCTAGCTCAGCCTTGATTGCCGCCAGGCCCTTTTCCTTCAAGTAGTATCTCACCAAATGATGAGGTGCAAGAAAGGCGGATCGGTTGACGAGGGGATCAGTTGCATGGTTGAACTCAAAGTGAAGGTCAAAGAATTCCGTGTGGAAAGCTGAAAGGAATGAAACGTCGACTTCAAGTGCCTTCTCGTTGGCAAGAGACACGAAGTTTGCCCCTGTTTTTCCAATCTGGGAGTTCTTCAGATTGCTTGCATTGGAGGCACTAACTGCTGTCTTGATAATACCATGGAACTTTCTCACATAAATAAAGGCTGCGCCAAGAGTTTTCCATCTTGTTGTAATTGGCTCCTGCATCAACTTCAGTAGCTCCTTTAGAACATCTTTTGGTGTACTTCCAGTCACATGTTTGCACGCTTTGGTCAACAAGGACTTGAGGCCTCCAATTCCATTCTTGCGTCGAAAAGAATCCTGCCAATCTGAGTAGGCATGAACTTTTTGGAGCACATTGCGTTCGTCAAGTCCTCCAATGCCATATGCTTTCTCCAATCCATTTCGGAGATTTGTTTGTTCGTTGTGCGCGGTGCACGCGCAAAAGATAAACGTCTCAGGATTGGCAAGCCCAACCAAAACCAACTCCCGCTTCATTGCGGCACAAGTGAAGCCTCCACCACTATCACTTGCACCACCATGGATTATTCCTCGCAAGATTTCATCCTGATGCGCCTCGTCTGCAGAAAATGCATACTTCTTCATAGAGTGGTGCGTACCCTCAGCACCTTCTTTTGCACTATCTCCGGATGTATCGAAATCGAGGTTGACGGATACAATCCTTACCCACTCAACGTCCCAAAAGTATGCAATCTTTGCTAAGACACCGGCGCCATGATCTACTGCAATGTATACTCTCTTTGCTTTGATCATGCGATCCCCAAGGAGAACGACCTTGTGCGCTGCAGTTCGGAGAACGTGATTGCGGATAGTAGTACTGCTCGGCTTCATTTGCAACATGGCATCATAAGAAACCCGCAAGTCTTCTGCGGCATCGTATAAATTGAACATCTTAAGAGCAGTGCAAGCTCTCTGGACGCCTTGAAATAGAAATTGCTCTGCAGCGGCATCAGAAACCTGCGGGAAGTTGGCGGCGCAAATCCCAAGCGAAAATACGCTCCCTAGGTCCGCAGTACGATGCTCCTTTCTTTTGACAGCTGCCGCGATGTCCTTTTTGATCTGGATTGCTTCTTCGCTTTTGGCGCGCTTGTTCTTGTGTATAAACGACATGTTGTTGTCAATCTTTTTCAATTCACCATTGCACAAAGTAAGACGAGTACCAATGTTGTATTCGCGTTTCTCTTGCTTCTTGTTGGCGGTGCTGTTGCAACAATCAACAAGGTGATCAGGGTCAACAAGGATGCTGGTCGTCAGGGAATTCTCTTTGGAATCTTCGGCCATATCACTATCTTCACTTGAATTGCTGGCAGCAGCAAAGAGTTGAGAGACGGATGGAAACGACTGGAGGGACTGTTGAATCAAAGCAATGGGATGGTTTGGCGGTGGCAGCTCATGTTTCAGCTGTCTTTGCAAAGAAGGCACATTGCCTTCTTTCAAAGTTCCAATTAAAATAAAAGTGTTCCTTCCTCTCCCTTGATTGAAGATAACCTTTGAATTCGATTCTTCTCCCCATATTGCTGCCGCAAGCTTTTCAACTCCAGGTTTCGAAATGGCAGGTGGTCTGTTGGCACGTTGAAGGATCAAGTCTGAAGCAACCAAGACCTCCAGACTGTGTGCTTGAGTTAGCCCAATTAGTTCATTCACAGTCACTGCTCTTGCATAACATTTGCCCCTACCACCATACACAAACTGGTACCAATATGACTCCTTGTTTTCATGGACGTTGTCCTTAAGACCCTTGACAAGTGTATCAAAGACACAATTGTTTTCTTCATCACTTGATACCTCCATGGTTCTATCAATCGGTATGCTGTTGATAGTAACATAATTTTCCCAGCTCGGTTGGAAATTTGATTTTGTTGAGACTTTGGTCCCGCGTATCCAAAACAAAACGGGAAGCATGAAAATTTCAAAGCGGGACGCATTTGGTCATACACATGAAATCCACGTTCCATACAATGATATCCCTCTTGCTCCACATTACAGCAATCAAACCAAGTATTTATCTTAGAATACTAGATAGTTCGTCTAAAAGATTAAGCTCTATACAAAGGGGCAGTTAGTGTTAAAATGCGGCTCTCCAATCTTGAGATGCTTCGTAAGGATCGTATTCTTCGTCGGATATGTTGACATCATTGGAAGTTGCTTCTTCACTATTTTCTGCGGTGTTCAATGTATTAGGATCCAGGATGATGTCCTCTACAGTCTCTTCTGTTTCAACAGTCTGGGCAGTGTCTTCATCTGCTGGCAAAGCGGCGGAAAAAAGACTAGAAGCCAAACAAAGGTCAACTGAAGAAAGCTGATTGTGGTGTGTTTTTGCAACATCAATAAGTCTAGACCAAATGAAATGGCGCTCAACCAAACTCTGATCAGTGCCAATCACGGATCGGGCAGCGATCATCTCGATAGAATGAAGATCTGGAAGAGCAATAGGGTTTCCAGCTTCAGCCAAAGATGCTCCGTATTGTAGAAGATTCACAGCGTAGCAGAGACGTCCTGCATCCTCAGATGATGCGAGTCGCATGGAATACATATTCCTCTTGTTGTTGCTTTCAAGCACGCCGCTCAAAGCTTTGAACGTTACCCTGTCAGTTTCATCCGCGAAGATGCGCATTACGAACCTTGGCACAATGAAAGTATTGAGGCCACAAGCCTTGGACAGGTTGTTGTGGTACGTCATTTGCCCGTAGCCTCTACAGTTTGGACCATCCTTGTCGCTTTCTTTGATGTAGTTGATGCGAAGTGTTCCCGTACCAGTAGAGGGATTGAACCCGTTTCCTCGAGTATCCGACACTTTGAAGAGACTGACGTTGTCAAACGTAAGAAGGGACAAGGAAGAGAATGTCATTTTGCAGCAACTACACCTGTGTTATTGTTGTATGCGGTGAAGGAAGAAGCTGCTGGCAAAAGGTGAGCTTTCTTCAACATGATCTGTGCTCTCTGCCATACCAATAACACATGAAACAATCTACAACAATGACGTGACGAAATTTTGGTTCCCACTTTTCCGGGAACTGATTCAAAATTGATAACCGTCAAAGCTCGAATTTTCTTTGAAGTGAGGCCAAAAAGAATGGGTCCGTCCGTCGGCCGTCGCAAAACTGAACCGCCAACCCTTCAGCTTATGATGTACCTAATAACATACTTTTCCAGAACAACCTTTCTTGTTTTCAGTATTCTACTACCCCCTAGAGGCTTATTTTTGCTAAGGTTCACTTGGATTTTTTTTTCAATCATACAAGTAGCACAGTTTTGGGCACTGGATTCATTCGTGCGGATCGGGGTCTTGTATCGTTTATATAAAAATTTATATTCTAGTCTTGCCGAATTTTAGTTTTTGGTTCAGCATCTCATCAATATATATTCTAGTATAGCTTCCGAGACGACAG